CGGCATTCTCATCGATGTAAAGTTCACCGCTGGGAACGCTATCGTTTTCGGGACAGTCCTGCACCTCGTTTTTAACTTCGGTCTCTTATATGGAAATGAACAGGTAAGAATATGTCACTTATAAATATTGTTTTCTAAAATATCTGCGCGCTTAACGGTGAATAATTGCCAGTCCAATTCCCGAATTTTTTGTATTGAAATTGTTTTTGAGAAATAAAGGTTTATAGTAAACGTCATGAAAAAAATGACGAAGTATAAGTACACCAATAAATGAACGATCATTATTCGAGCGGTTACTAAGTTTAACTAAATGTTTATTTCTAGATAAAGCATATTCTCCCCTTCTGCTTGTATAAAGATAACGGTGTTCGATAATATTTAATCTATCTCGGATTTATCTGCTGAATGTATACGGTCATTTAATCGATGCACGTTTACTTTACACCAATGCAGTTAGAGATTTCCTATTTACCATTATTTGCAGCGCGAGGATGCTGTACCGAGGCTTCTGTCGAGGAAGACACGTTGCCAGCATTGTCTAAAACCCCTGCTGGTTTTGTCGGATCATTGTCCTCGGTTAACATATCACTCTATCTGTATGACATAAATCACCTTTTCACTTTTACGCCTGAGAAAAGAATAAAAGGATGAGCAACACATGAAAAAAGAATGAATAGATAATTTACGAGTTAATGGAGCAATAAGTTAAATCATGTTTCTAATTTGAAAATTTCAATATCTTGATGTCTCAATATATCTTTATTGCGGGAAGATCGAATTTGAAGTCATCAATCAAAATAATCCATAAATATAAAAAGAATCTTAAAGACAAACAAAATCCTATGTGTAATAATATATATATATATATATATATATATATATATATATATTTTTATTTTACATGCGCATATACATATAAAAATACTTCGATAATAATTTATTATCGCTGTCCAAGCATCTGACACGTGGCACAAAGTGGATCTGGCCATATAGTTCCACCGGCTTTAAAACGGATCCAGTATATTATTATATTAAATAATAATGTATAATATAATACTTTCTGTAATTTTTAATTTAATGGTACATCAAACGATTGCACTTTAAAGTAATGATTCTACAGGTGAATGAAGATTGCACCTGCGAGGTCGCAAGGGTTCGCTCGCGTGTGAACTTCGTTATTGTCTGCCAATTGCGTGTCGAAGAGGAGTGACTGGTCGGGTAGGCGTACACCACGAGGCACCGAAAGCAACCAATGGAACCTCTCACAACGTTTTACATTATGTATTCTTTATGTTGCCAAGTCACTATCTATCTGCACTCCGCCCTGTTGTGCGTGTGTATGTGCATATATATACATATATGTATATATCTCACGCCATGGAAAGTACCTTCTACACGAGAGCTTCTTCATGCCAAGGTGTAACCACGCAGATGTAATTTAAGGAGTTTTTTTTAAATGAGAATATAAAAGTGCATCTCATATATTTTGTCATAATTTTTTCGATATTTAAAATTGAATAAGAATCTCGATAAGAAATTTCTTCTAAATAATAGTTTACATATAAGTTTAACATTCTGGACGAGAAGCAGAATGCAGATATATTGACTTAGTCGATTGTTGTTTTTTTTTGGTTGCTATTTCATTTCCAAAATTTTTAATTTTATCTCAAGCAACAAATTTTAATTCTATCATTATAATGAATAATTTTTCTAGATTTTCAGGTACACATACACAATGCACGAACTTCTGCAATCTCGCGAATATCTCCTCTCACTTGCGTAATCGCGTTAAAGTGCAATCATTTGAAATACTATTAAATTTGCAAAAAGAAACAAAAATTATTTAATACGCAATTTACTTATATTTTTTTTTAAATCAGGATGACAGTTTATATTATTGAATAACGCATGTAACAATGTTAAAGAAAACAAGATTTTTTTTCATCTGTTATTAGGTTTGAATATTCATTCTAAATCACAATTTTTCAGGTCGATATTTTCTACATGAGATTGTCCGCATATTAATCAAGAGATATATCACTATTACGCCACGATACGAATTTGTCGCCACCCTGTATATCGTCATTGCTCATCTCGCGCGCATATAATGTACAGCAAAGCGAGATGAAAGGCACTCTGCTTATCTAAACAAAAGGCTTGTACCGAAGTGTTTATCGCGGGCGAGTTGCTTAGCTTGCTGTCTGGCTGGCTGTCTGTCCGTCAACCGTCAGGGAAATGAAATGCAACGAAACGAAAAGAATGCCGGTTCGCTCTTTCTCTCTCTTTCTCGCCCGCAGGACTCTTCAGTCTCGGATCGGCTTACGTCGTCGACCGTAAGAAAGAAAAGGAAAAGAAAAGGTAAAGCAAAGCGCTAAGGATGGCTACAGTTCGTCGAGACAAAAGCTTTTTGTCTCAAGTCTACCTAGCCGCGTGTCAGAAGTAAGAAACGAAAATCTTTCGGAGGGTACGTCTCAAAAATATTGTTTTTCCGGCCGGGCTCCCATTCATAATAGCTTGAGTTCATTATTACCCAAATAAAATATGTTAACCATTAAACGCTCTAATAGCTCGAGATCTTTTTACAAGACATTGCTGTAATTTAAAAAAAATATTGCTTTTCCCACAACCGAGTTTTCATTGGACAATAGACTCGTGTCATTGTTCAAATTATTATAATATTCTGATGCTAATTTTTAATTTACTAACACTAATTTTTTCATAAAACTTTAAGTCCCAACTGTTAAATAATTCTTTAGTTGATATATTTTACCATGAAATAATTTTTTAAAAGAAATTAACATAGTTTACTCATGTTTTCGTGTATTGTACTTTTAATTAGATTTCATTTTCTTCTAGATAATCTTCGAAAAAATCTTAAGCTATTTTAATATCTGAATTGAATCTTTCTAACTCGTTTCTTTCGATTTCAGTTTTCGCACTCTTTCGTTAGTAAATAATGCATACAAGAATTAATATTGGAATGACAATTTATTACGTTAGAGGGAAGAAACGTATTTTTAAGAGAAACCGTCGTTAACCAGGCTTTTTGGAGAGAATGTATTGTCTGATATACTACGCAACGGCCAATTAAAATACATTATTGTCCTAACGAGCCGAATGAGATGCATAAGTTACGCATGCTCAATTGATAATGACGTTTTACGCCTGTGTGCGAACGGCGGTTCTCTCGCCTCTAATACAGGAAAAACGTTATACTTGCAATATTTTATCACGCGCTAAGACAAACTCGATCCTCATTATCAGTATTTATTTCTCACCACGTTGTTATGTTATGAAATATCGAGAAGACCGAGAAGAAGCATAATTTTTGAAGAGTTTTAATAAACAAATCAAGTTAGTGAAATATTAATAAAATTTATGTAATAGAATATATATACACTATGTTGAGTTTTTCGAAACTATAAATTTATATATATATA